CGCCACGTCACAGCTCTGTCCGCAGATATATGTGGCGTTTTCAGTGGCGAACCCTTGCCAGGAGTAAACCCACCACATCCTCGAGCGCTGCCGCTGCTCGTCCGCGACCGCTTATTCGGTAGGCCGAAGCCCACCTTATTCACGGTTAGCCGCGAGATGGCGGCCGTTCCCCTATCCGCGACCTGGGGACGCGCTCGGTAGCATACAGCTCTGCTCTTCCGAGGAATTGATCGATCACCTGGTATATTTTAGTTTGTCCCACAATACCCTCCTAAGCACAAGCTTCCACCACTTTTATGATGGCTTTTGAACTGCATGGGTATCAGCGTCTATTGATTTGGGTGAACATTTCGTTTCATCATGCTAACAGGTTTGCTCAGTTTTCTCAGGCCATCGGAAAAGTACAACGAAAGGTTTCTTATCAGAATGCGCACACACTAGATTCCTAATTTCTTTTCGAACGGTACGTTGATGACATCCATTGGATAGTTCGAATCATTTTTTTGCCGTTCTCCCAGCAATATTTCAACTGTTCAGTAATTTACTTGAACCCCGAATGTTGATTTTTGTCACAAATCTGTGGTCAGCGATAGGAGGCGGACATGCTGTTCAAAGCAGTTTATTAGCAAATCAAAGCGATGATTCTAAACACTAATAGACCCCTTCGACAGGAATTTCGCAAAGGACTATGGGCCGTTCCACTGACTCGAGATTTATGACGAAAGTGCAAATATATATTTCATTCAGTAAATTATGCTATATTATGCACAAAATATTTTTCCATGTGAAGTCAGTCTTATTTACTTCCCATTACGTACAGGGTTTGCACAAGGATCGCAGTGTGCTGTTAATCTTAGATCGTGGATTTGATCCCATCAGCCCCCTGGTACATGAATTAACGCTACAAGCGATGTGCTATGATTTGTTGAAAATCACAGACAACACCTACACGTAAGTTTTATCCGATAACTGCTATTGTCACTTTTTCGTATTATCTTGATTTTCTGTTGGAAGTGGATACTTCAGCTCCGTGGATATCACGGATCATTGCTGACCGGGCGCCGGCCAGCTCGGCGCAAGTTGTGTCCCGATTTCTCTTCCCTTGCCGGACTCCTCAGCCCAGATACACTACTTCTTTATCAGTCCCCTGACCCACGTTTCGAGATGTTCACCAAGCTAAAAAGTTCATTCCGGATTGAGTGTCTGTTTGATTCGCTCCGTCAGGAGCACCATAGAATGTGGCCGAATCATTGCAACCGGCAACTTTTGAGGAGAATGGGTAGTTTATGAGCACTGTAGCGTTGTCACCTTACTTCTTTGTCAGACATTTTGTAACATCATTTGACTTTGAGGATTTTACGTAGGCACTCTTCTGGTGTCTTCGGTTTGCAGACGTCAGGTTTCAGGTCGAGTGGTTGCGCGGTAATCATGAACTTTAATGCAGGTCTATAGTATCCACTGTAGCTGTAGAAAATCTTTTCTGGCATTATCGATCTGCAGCACTACTTCTTCTTTCGCTTGACTATTCAGCGTTAGGGTAGAGTCTAAACTTTTAAATAAGGGACTAACAGTAAACGAATAACTGTTAGGGTGATCACCCTTAGTAGGTTGAGAATACCTTCGTTTTCTGTGTACTCTTCCCTAAACCGATGGAAATCACGAACTCTAGTTCAGGTGTGCAGTTTGCCCGAATCATCTAAACGCCATGGTAGCCGGTCAGTGCCTGTAGCACTGTCCAGTTGACGGCGCACTTTGATAGTACCAAAGTAAGCGGCAGTTGTATCTGACTCATGTGGTAAGTGCAAAGCTCGGAAGTTCTTCACCGTACTTTTGGACCCTCTCACTAGTGGTCAGTCAGTATTGTCTCACGATCTTTAAGATTTTACCAGGCATCTCATCAGCAGCTAATATGGCCAAAAGAGATTCACGATTGATCGAGTCGGAAGTGGCCTGAAAGAAGGTGAAGCAGGCCGTGATTGAAATTCAGTGGTACTCCAGTAAATATCTGGTCCATACAGTCTCTACTACCTCGAAATTTGCTGCTTCAGATTCATTAATCTGTTAAGGAGCAACACGCAGATCTTTGCGTTAGCATTGATCAAACTGATCCCCCTCCCCCTAGTTCTCACACACCGATTCATCATCTTTCTTGGAAATGGACGTGCCCCATTTACTCGGGGATGTTTCGTGTTACCATATGGAGCAAACAGAATATGTAACCTGTCAATTACTGACGATAGGTAGATCCTATACACTTCAGGAGGAATGCTATCTTACCCAGCGGCTTTCCGGGTTTTCCAGTTGGTTTATACTGCTACCACAAATGACACAGCACGCAAATATTTTAAACGACAGCTCTTCAAGAGTCTGAGGAATGACCGCGAAAATTAATGGGTAGAAAATGTAGACAGATGGAGAAAGCTGCGGATGTTGGTAATAGTCGCACTCTTTTCCAACTAGTTAGGAATACGGGCCCCAGGATAATGGGCATAAGTTAGGTCTTGATCGATGGGCTGAACGTTTCAAGTCTCCGTTCATTTGGCTCCAATCGAAATCAGATCTATCACACATCCCACACACTTCGACTGAGCCAATACCCCTCGTTGATACCAGTCTAACACCCAGCCTCACTCTAACTGTAGAAGTAATAGAAGTTGTGAGAGAATTTTGCTACTTGGGCAGCTACATAGCACCCGGGGGATCCATCATGGATGAAGTGTCGGCACACATACAGAAGATCCGATTGGCATTTGCCAGTTTGGAATATTTGTGGCGCCGCCGCGACATCCGATTGTCCGTGAAGGGTGAAGAGTATGTTGCGGCATTTCGGCCAGTTCTGCTATACAACGCTGAAACGTGTGCATTAAGGAAACAGGATAAAGACAGACTCGGTGTTTGAATGCCTGTGCCTACGCAGCATTGCACGAATCTGGTGGGGTAACCGGACGAGCAATGCTGAGTTTTAGATAATCGCGGTCGTTCACTGGAGCAAGCGGTCGACCTCCATAGATTACGTTGTTTGACACATGTGTTACACATTTCACCAAATAGATTGCCACGGCGAACGATACTTACCTAGGCAAGTAGTGGGTGGGAAAAAAACCAAGAGTAGTCAAAATAAGACCTGGCACGAGGGTATGAAAACCCAAACCAGGACACTGCGTCATATAGGTACCAATAAGCTCCGTGATTGGGGACCCCGAGATCACGTTAATTGGAGGTTAGAAACACATTCCTGTATGTCGCGAACAGTGGCGCTCGTGTATCTGGTCATTATTCCTGCTACCTTAGTCTTTATGAATTCTCTATCTTTCCTTTGACTTCGATCTCAACATTCCAATTCTCGTTCTACTCTTTTATCCCAAAGACAGCAACTAAAACCAGTGCATGAAAATGCAAGGTTAAGGGTTGTGAAAACTGAAACTGGCCTGTTAGGCCTGATAGGTAGAATTAGATGTGATGTATACTGAGAGGAACAGCAGTTGTAGGCCGTCAACCACAAATGTACACTACCCGGACTGAGTTGAACGGGTCAGGTTTAGTTTAGCGGCTGAGAAACAAATACGTCTTTCGATTTATGTATGTGAGCCCAAAACGAAAAAGCTAAGTACTCTTGGCAATAGTGAGCCCGCATCTTTCGTTGGTCGTCTATTGTGTTTACGGACAATTCTATTCTGTTAGCATCTTGTGTTTGTCTATTATTCACTTTAGTGATGTAAACTGGAATGGCATCGCTCATGTACTTCGCTGGTGATACTGGATGAACAGAAAAGTTTCTAACACAGGGCGAATCAATATAACCGTGCTCTTACTCGCTCAGATCATACCCTAAAAACGCATCGACCGTTAAAATTCATTAAGTGCAGTTAGTTGGTAGGCAATGTGAACCTTTATCATGCACACAAGATTTCAGTAGCACACAAACGCGCCGTTCGATCCATTACAAGCACAAATGCTACGGCTGCCTTGGTTTGTGTCATCTCACATTGAATCTGCCCTTAAGCACTCATCAATAGTGTAGAAGTAATTGCAGTTTCGCGATCTTACTCATGTCTATCCCTGTTCCCTAATATGATTAAACTCGACCCACCCGGTGTCTTCTATGCATGCACTCACACTGAATAAAATAGCAATGTTTTCTTGGGTTAATTGTGCATCACACCCGAGCATTGCTCACGCAAAGCCC